CAATAGTAATCTGTTTGCAGCTTTTTGCTATGCCTGAAACAGCTCTGGGGCTTTTCCCAGATATAGGTGCTTCGTATTTTTTGTCAAGACTTCCTGGTTTTTTCGGTGATTCCTTTTATCCCATCGTGTTTTTTTTCCATGTGCAGTGTTCTGAGATTGTTGTGCAGCACATTTCTAATTCATTTTCCATTTAATCTAGTTTTCATTAGCTTTTGTCATTGTTCCATAAGCAAATTAAATTATTTTCGTTATTTACATATGAATTTTGTGGCAGGAGAATATGTTGGTCTGACTGGTGCACGGTTAGATGGTGCCGAGATGCTTGCATGCGGTCTAGCAACTCACTTTGTTCCATCAGAGGTTTTTACACAGCAAAATCCACGCCAATTTTTTTTATTATTATATATAAAAAATGGACAATGAGTCAAAAAAGTTAATAAATTTAAAGAATAATAAGGAAGCACTCATATAATAATTAATATATAGAATATATAAGAAAGGAAATAAATAAAACGAAAATATATTTATATTATGACTGATTTAAAAATGGATATAGAATATTAATTATAGAAGTTATCAAATCTACCGGCAGTTGATGTGGAAACTGACCGAAGCTAACTACGTGCCACTCTTAAGTTCATTATTTCCATGATGCTTCTTTTATTGTACAGAGACTGGCTTCTTTAGAAGATGCACTCGTGAAAGCAAATTCCAGTGATCCAGCTGTTATTTCTTCTATTATTGGTGAATTCTCTCAAATACCGAATTTGAAGCGGAATAGTGTTTACCACAGGTAAGATTAATCAAGACTCAAGCACATTTGAGGTTTTGTTTGTGTACTTTATGTATATATTTTGTTGCATTCACTGAGAATAGAGATGTTAAACAACTGTGTATGCCATTTTAATCTATAGTCTGCTTCTTTTTCTTTTTTCTTTTTCCCCTTTTTTCCATTTATAGATTCACATTCTCATTTCTTGCTACTATACCTGCAGATTGAAAACAATTGATAAATGTTTCGCGAGAAGAACAATTGAAGAGATCATTGTAGCCCTTGTAAGGATGATCAATTTTATCATATTTTTTTTTTTACATAATTCTGCATGGCCAGGCAAATCTCAACTGTTTTGGAGTCACTAGTTTATTTGTTATTCAGTTTTATTTCGTTCGAATTATTTTCCGGTAGGAAAGTGAGGCTGCAGAAAAGAATGACGATTGGATCTCGTCTACAATTAACTCATTGAAGAAAGCATCCCCTATGAGCCTTAAAATCTCTCTTAGATCGGTATAGATCAAATCGACACTCTTAGTTCTATTATTCACATCTCTGTCTAAAAGTTTCAATTTTTTTTTTTTTTTTTAGACAAGTGAACTTGTGTTCTCAAGGTCTTACGAAAGACAACTGCTTTCTGGATACACGATTCAGAAATTTCTAGAATGAAAATGAAATTTCTAGAAGAATTCAATGTCTAAAAATTTCTTATATATTTCTCCAGATTCGAGAAGGGAGGCTCCAGGGCATTGGCAAATGCCTCGCTCGGGAGTTCAGAATGGTTTGTCATGTGATGCGTGGAGATATTAGCAAGGATTTTGTCGAGGTATTGAAATAGCAAAATATTTTCGATTCAAACTTTTCGTATCTTTATGCTATATTATTAAAATGTCTTTAACCATTTTCTTAAAAAAATTCAGGGTTGCAGAGCTATACTGATTGACAAGGACCGGAATCCAAAGGTACGTGAGCCTTCAGTTCTAAGTAGGGTTATTTACAAACAGTACCCTTGAGTTTTCTATTATTTTAAAGAATAATCGTTTTTTTCTTTTTCTTTCTTCTCTTTCTGAATTTGCAGTGGGAGCCCTCGAATTTAGAGTCGATCAGTGAAGAAATGGTCGACCGATATTTTGCCAAGGTAAATGAAGATGACTGGGAAGATTTGAAGCTGCCAGTCAACTCAAACTTACCTGCATATGCTATTGCTAAACTGTAAAAATATCCTCTCTTGACAAACTAGAGAATTTTATTTAATTTAAAACTTCTGTCGAAAAATCGTGCCTGATCGAAATAATGTTGTGCAAGAAGCCAACTGATCACATTCTAAGATTGTGAAATGTAAAGCCATGCAAAATCATAACTGGCATATTTACTATGTTTGCTTTTTTCAACTAGCAGAAAATGCTGCTTTTTATTAAAGACCCGTGTTCTATATTGTTAAAATTGAAAAATTGTGCTTATATTGTAATTGAAGTAAATATTGTGATTAAAATATGGATAAGAAAAATTAGTATTATTTGACAAAATATCATGTAGCACTCAAAAGGGGTGTAATTTGCAGTAAAACTTATAAGATTGTCCTTCTAATGAATATAATTTTTTTTAAAGAAAAAAATAAAAAATCAAGAAGGAATGTTGTACTAGTTTTTTTTATTCATGATTTGTCATCTTCTTTACAAATTGTCAAAGAACATGCTCAAGACTTGATTTGTTTAGGTAAAAGTCCTACATCCATTTGCTAAGCTTCCTTGCATTTTCAACACTATGCGTTTCTAACAATAGTTTGCAGCATTACTTTTCACAATTAATTCTCAATTTAGAGTGTGAAAATGTTATAGGATTTAGAGTGTGATTAACCTTACCTTCTCCTCAATTTACCTATTTATATGGAGTTATTAGCTTCTCCCGTATGCTTCGTTCTTCGTCCGTCAGATCACTTATTCCTTTTTTATCCTGACCCTACACGTGTCCCTTACAAATCACTTTAATTCTCAATTAACCTATCACATGTCATCTCTATCTTAGAAGACCCTACATGTGTCTTTACCTTAAGTAGAGCTACTATATGCCGAGCTCTCAACACTTACAGGCTTCGCAGATAGCCAAGCCATTCTTAAGTAGGGCTACTATATACCGAGCTCTTAAAACTATAGGACTCATAGATGATCGAGCTACCTTAAGTAGAGCTACTATATGCCAAGCACTCAACACTTACAAGCTTCATAGATGGCCGAGCTACCCAGATACCCGTCTTCTCTACATTATTCATTGTAGTCTGGGCTCCTTATAGTCCGAGCTATTGACTCCCTCGAACTACCCCCAAACCCCTCGTCCTAACTAACTCCAGTTCATGAACCGAGCTAGTCATGGCCGGTTTATCAAACTATTCTTATGTGCTATATCACTATTGACCATCATAAGTTTACTCCCTCTTCTCATGAAAAATTTACTATAGCAAAGGTGTTAGTATATGTGTCTTAGAAACAATCAATTTGGGACAAATGTACTTGATCACATTCATATTATATTTGATGATATTTATGGTTTTGCATTAATTGATGAATTCTTTTGATTGTCTGTAATTTATTAATTAATTGTTCCCTTGAGTTAATATTGTCATTAACAGAGTGAGATGTTAATTGATAGAGTTACTCTTAAATTACCTCAATCGATGATCATTAAGAAAAGGGATATTAATGATACGTGATAGATTGACATGTGGTCTGCATCACATTTGAGAATATAGTATGTCTCACTACTATGAATAATTGTTATTCGTGATGGACACATGGATACTTTGGAGAGTATTGGTATACCCTACCGATAAACCATTTGTTTATGTGTCTATGGGAGTATCGGTGTGTGGAATGGTGTAATAGTCCTTTGACTTGAGGTCAATACGCAATTTATGTATAGAGTGATTTACTTAGACCTAGTCCAAAGCTTACGCCCTTATGGGTAGATACGGGCTTGTGTTGGGTAGGTCACAATATACATGGAATTGGTAGTTGAGCCAAGATAGGATTCATTCCTCGAATATTAGTTTCGAGAGAACACTCGTTTTCTCTATACTGGGTTGATAAAGTCATTGGACAATGCACGTGATTATATTTGAAATGGTGTTCAAATATAATTAATTGAAATTAACCAGTGAGATGAGATAAAATGATTAAGCTGTTTGGATAGACACACGTTCAAATTCTAAGCTTAATCGAGTGGTTCGTAAATGAAGGGACCGTATCACTATTGAGTTCTACACGAAAGGTTTGTTTGCTTTGTCTATGTAAACGTACTTCATATTTTGAGTTCGTCCTTCGACGCAGTCTAGGAGTTTCGTGAGGAACATAAATTAGATTTATGTCAATATATGAAGGCCTATAGGGTCACACAATATGCAATCTATTTTCCGGCTAAGAGTGAATCGAGAGTGTTAAATATTCAATTAGATTGGAATATTTAATTTTAGTAATGAGATTATTTTCTATTAGATAGAAAATATATAATTAAGTTTAATTGGGCTTAGACTTAATTAAGTCATTAATTGGATTAGGTTCAATTGTCTATTGGGCTATAGGTTATCCTAAAGCCCATATAATTAGGTTTAGCCTAATTATAAATAGGCGGTTATCTCATATCAGATGTAGAGATCAAATAATTGAAATACGCCGTAAAAACACAAAAACTCTCTTTGCTTTCTGACTGAGGATTCCTAGCGTCTTCACCGGAAAGGATTCACTGCGTTGGATCGTGCACCGGGATCTGGGTTGCGTGCATACCATAGTTGAAGGTAAAACTTAAACTGTAAGTTCTCGCAGATCTATGATCAAATCGAATAGCTATAACCGGATCTTCATTGTTGGTAAGAAAATTTTAAAAATTCCGCTGCATGTGCGATTGATTCGTACGACTGAAATCCAACAAAAGGAAAATCAACTAAATTTATTTTGATCACACCACATATACTTAAAAAGTAATTATCCAGAACGAGAACTACAAAATTCAGTTGAAAGGAGTAAGATACAGGAAAATCTAGTATAATGTAGAACCTTGACAACCAAAGCTACAAGAGCTGAAAAGAAAATACTAAGTACACTAATTTTCTTCAAAGGTCCCATTTCGAGCAGAAACTCGTCTTATTGTTGCCAAGCAATTGTCCTTTGGCCTCGTGTGCGGAATGTACATTATAGGGCTATCAGGGTTATGGCGTTCAAGCCTGCAAATTTTGCCGAGAGAAGTATAGAATACGAGAAAAATTGTTACATAACATAATTTCTTGAATTGTAGAGGGTTCATAAGAAAGAAACATGGACTCACTTGTAATTCAGAAGAAAATGGTGGAGGAAAATGGAAATTTCAATCTTGGCAAGATCGTTCCCAGGACACAGTCTGCTTCCTCCGCCAAACGGGAGGAACTGCCCAGCTCGTGGTGTAAATCCCTATGAGATATAAGTTATCAAAGATAAAATGTAAATACAAAATCGAAAAAATAATCGTAAATACAACTTTTTTTAACTTTTCAAGACTCACTCATATAATGTATATGAGATTAATATAGTAGAACAAGAGAGTATATAGAGAGAAAAAAAATGCATTTTGATTTCTTACGTCCCATCGTGAAGGATCAAACTTCTTCGGGTCAGGATAAGTTTCCGGGTCGAAATGAACGCCTCTGAACCACACCAATACTTTCCATCCCTTAGGAATTGTGTAACCTGAAATATAAATAACCCAACTTCATTTTGTAATAATACCATCATTTGCTGATAAATAGTTCGAAAAGTGTACGTACCACAGACTCGAACATCTTTCCTTGCCTCTCTAAAGACAACCAGAGAGAATGTAATCACACGAAGTGTTTCGTCAATTACCTGCAAATTTTATCTGTTTATTAGAGAAAAAAATGTGATGGGATTGAACTTTATATATATAATGTGGTAAGGCTGAATTTTCACCTTCGAAAGATATTCCATTTGTCGTATCTCTTTAAGGGTCAGCCCTTTCTGATCATGTGGTCTGTTCTTCATAATTTCTTCCTGCTCCCTCTGAGTTAGAAATTTAAGATTTGATCCCATGTTAAATTAAGGTAGTGATGTAAATGTTTTTTTTTTTTTTTTTCGGGCTTATTGTTGAATTGTCGATGTACCTTAGCCTTTTCAAACACGTCGGGATGGCTCTGCAACAAAAGGCTGGCCCACATTGTGATATGTCCCGAGGATTCGTGGCCCGCGTTTAGGTACATGACCAAAACATCGATTATTTCCTCGTCAGTTAATGTTCTTCCGTTTTCGTCTATGGCATCCATGAGTGCATCCATCATGTCCTTCTTAGCTGCCGGGGGATTTCGAGCCCTCCAATCCCTTCGGGCAGTTACCACGGATTGGAGAACGGCCACGAGCCTCTTACGCGCCTGAAAAACGGATAAAATTTATTTCCGGTGAATATATATATATGAGCATGTAGTTGGTAGTTACACACTTTAACCTAAGATTTCGAGTTAAATTTTGAGAAATTTTTAGATTTGAGACTTTTTAAGATTTTTTCAGGAGGAATCCTTGTGAAATCTTAAGCCTGGAAGTAGGATTTAGAGCGGGAATTCGTACCTGGTTTCCTAGAAAGTCTTAACTTATCCTAGTCTCGAATAAGTTAAATACCTCATGATTTTGTAAGACTTTTTAATAAAATCTCAGACGAATACCTCGAGACATTTAAAGGTCTTAAAAAGTCTAACTTAAACATACAAAGATTTCTGAAGTCTTAAAAAGTCTTTAGAAATTCTAAACGAATACACTCCCCCTTTAGTTTAAAAACAAAGATTCTTTTTTTTTTAACCTTAAGTGCCGAGTGGTAGGCAAATCCCGGGAAGTTAATCGCCATTGCCCGAACCCCATAATTCAACGCCGTGTACTCCTTCTCGAGGGCCTCCATAATCCCCTCGCTCTCCGAGCTCAAGAAAATGTACATAATTATCCTAAACGTAAGCTTCCGAAGCTCGGTAAGGTACTCGATTGGGCCCAAGTGGGCCCACTTATCCAAGGCCGACACGACATTATCCTCGATGAAGCCCACGTAGAGGGAGAGGGCCTCGTGCCCGTTGACTGGGGCTGCGGTCAACTTCCGGAGCCACTTGTGCTCGTCGTCCGATATACCCACAAATGACTTTTTGCCAATGAGGTTTCTTGTGGCAACGGGCCAGCCCGGCCCGAATGTCTCGTCGTCCGTGAGGACCTTTCGGCAAGCGTCGGCCGAGGTTACTATGATGCTCGCTTTGCCGAACATAAGGACCTTGTAGAGCCCGGTGTGCCCGAACCTGGAATTTATGAAAATATCCTTACATTTTAGCTAAGTGAAAGGAAGGATTTGTATTAGTAAATTCAAGCCTCAAGGGTAGCGTTGGTAATATACAGGCAACATATAATATTTTCCTTGTTAAATGCAACATGAATTTGATGAACCTTCATAATTTGCAATCTCTTCGTACATCTCAACCATACAATCATCCGCAAGAATGCACACGTGTACGGTCGAGATGTTGCAAATTATGAATTTTATAAGAAAATAGGAGAGCAATGAAGTACAAACACAAAGCAGACAACAAATAAAGTTAGCTGATTTTCTTTC